TACAAGGGACGTTACTTTGCTTAAAAGTTACCTGCTCCTTTTAGTGATAAAAATATACTTCGTGATATGTCTTTTAAGAATCCTAGATCCTACATGCATCCTATGTAAGGCTTTTTTTTTTCAATATTTTTACATTGGCCAAGTACAACAACAGATCTGGGCATAAAATTGCTTCGCATGTCAACAAAATAAGGTTACCAGGCGGCATACTAAAACACCTATTGATACATTTAGTAACTCAGATGCAAGGTTTACTAATTTAATTTGCATATCAATCAGGTAAGCTTACTCACACCATCTCACGTTTACCAGTATATTTAAATAGTAGTTAATCGATACTATCAATGGCTAACTGCATGTCTAATTGAAAATATGTGCACTAAAATTGTAATAAAGACATTTTGCTTGATCAGTGTATTGCACAATTTGGTATTCCTTCTCACAGACTGAATCTCAGTTCCAATCACAACTTTTCAAAGAATTCATAAAATGGCATAGGATTCAACACAATAATTTCATTGATAATTAAAAACTAGTCACCAAAAACAAGTGGACAGACAAATTGTCACTTATAATTTTGTTTAAGAAATTCAGTCATGGATGATCTGCAATGTACTCCAGCTGAAATAGTTTGTAGAACAACTTTGATACTTCCTGGTTAATATTTTGATAGTAACACAAAACCCACAACAACATATGTTTAGAAGTTAAAAGAAAAAATGTCACAGATGCAATTTTCACCAACCAAATATATATTTCAAAAGATCTGGGCAATTGTGAGTATACCTTTGTAATGATGCAGTAAAAAAACATAGTTCTGTTATGAAGGACCTTACCCTGTACACAAGAGAGCTAATAAATATCTTACGATTCTGTGCAATGGCGAGAAGGATAATAAATCCTGCAGATGTTGATGCACAATTCTCAAAAACATAATACACCAAGCATGCAAGTAATGTTGCCAGTCAAGCCCTTACAAGCACATGAACACATACTGTTTCCTAAAATTATTATTTTTGTGGAAATACATTTTTGTTACTTTTGGAAAAAAAGAAGACATTTGAGTTAGAAGTAGTGACTGCAACAATGTTCAAAAAAGAAAATACTTCAGAGATTGTGACTGCAATCAATTAACTGAATCAATACAAGTTTTGATCAATTTTTTGTAGCACTTATCGGAGTTACCTCCTCCCTCGATCCTTAAACAGGCAGAGGAACATGTCATCTCCACCTTGACCTCTCGTTTGTGCCCCCTATACACTGTTAATCTGCGGGAGAGACTAGCAAGTCCCCTTTTTAGTTAAGTTATATTACAAACCTTGTTGTAATATACTTCTAGACATTTTTAGGCCATAGTTCCCTTTAGCTAACCTCGATGTATTTTATTATAGAGACTTTACTGTTAGCTTATCCAATTCACTTGCTGGTCTCCCTTACCACAAGACAGTGGCTTCTCACTAAATTCGGGGTCGGCAACTGAAACAGTCGGATACGCAGGCCCCTGGCCTTCGTTGGCCAGGGGCGTCGATCAACGGGCTGCGTATTAAGTTACGCTCCCATTTTTGTCTGCCAACTTGATGATAGTTGGAAACTTTCCTTTCTCTCTCTCTCCTTCGCCTACTACGCCTCTCTCCTTGGCCCAGTTCGGTTATCGGCATTCCGTCCCTACTAGCTGCCTGCACGTCATCCTTAACCTTCACCGTACACTATGTTAGTAATTAATACGGGAGGTTACTAATATCGGACTCAACTGACAACACGCAACGCCTGCACTGGACCTGTGACATGCCCGAACAACGCTTGTTCTTCTTTCCTTCCCAACACGTCAAGTTGGCATCCCAACCAAAACCAACAACTGCAACAATAAACTGTGATGATCCTGGCAACAACCAACATCAACTGCAACAACCAACAGCGATCATCCCGGAAACAACCAACACCAACCTCGACCATCAATGCCTGCACTAGAACTTCTGCACCTCCACCGTTCCGACCACTTTTATTTCTTTTTCTTTTCTAGAATAAATTAGCATATATCATATATATCCTCGTTCTGTCGTCTATATTGTTTCACCGTCAGATTTAACGTCTTCAAAAATGTTAGCGGGCCTCTTGTGACCTCATTCACCCTTGTGTGATACTGGGGCACTCAGGGTACCACTACACACTTCTTTTAGTTTAATAAATTTTAAAATCAGAATTGAAAACGACCTCTTTGGACAGAGATTAAACGTTTTACAACCTCAAAAAGGTAAGAAAATATTCAAAAAAATAAAAGCAATGAATTAAACTTAAAACTAAATGTAATGTTTAACTAGGTTTTAAATTTCTTTAATAAAGTTTAATAAAAGTGTGTAGAATAAAAAATGATATTCTTAAACTATTGGCTTTATAAGGTTAAAGCTAATTTATTTTTAAGCAAATACAATAACAATTTCTAGATTGAAGTACTTTTGATTAGGCACCTCCTCCTAAAAAAAAAAAAAAAAAATGCCCAAAATATAAAACAAAATTTTGTCAAAATCTATTAATAGGGAAGATCAAAGGAGTCTTTATGTAAAAATTATTTTTTTTTTATCCATTTTAGAATTTTGACTAAAAATCTTGTTTTTCTGTTGTCAACATAGGGCAATAAAATACAAAAAAATTGAGTGTCTTTGTAGTGAAAAAACATTGATTTGGAAATTCTTGCAAATATCAGATAATTCTTAGATTCTAATGAAACTTTCAAGATTTATTCACAAATGAACATGTTGCTAAGTAAGATGTGTCAGAAGGTGGAATTGCGAGAAGGCCTAAAATGTGTATGTACATTATGCATTTATCCACAAATAAATTAAACGAACATATGAAGACAATACAACTTGAAGAAATCAAAGAAAAAACAGCCTAATAGATTTCAACAATAACATTAATTTATATATATATATATATTTCACATACACAAAGTGATGATAGGTTGCTTGTTAAATATGGCAAGTGAGATAAGATTGCAAAGAGTGTCCATGCAGAAATTTGGTGAATAAATGTTGATTTAAGTTTGTGAAATTAAAACAGTTTGATTTCTGCAAGGTAAAATGTCAATTGTGTGAGTTCAAATAATAGTGTGTATGTGTGTGTCAATTGTAAGTGTTGATTCAAGTTATGAAGAGTTGTGTGCCTTTGACTGATGTGCTAAAATTGATTAAATGTACACTTACGATTTCGTAGTGATAATGTCACTTTTTTTTAGTAAATTGTAAGTTTCTTCATGCGGCAATAGTAGTGCGAGTTGTGTTGAGTTGATGAGAGGCTGGTAGTGTTATTGAGTCAGTGTGTTGGCACATGTGGAGTCTGCTGGCATCTCTTAAAACTCAGTGTCTGACTGACCTGAATTAAGTCAAGTGATTCTTTTTTTATAGATTTTTGGGTTTTCAAAAAAGGCTCCAGACAGCTGCGCAGGAAAAAAAGATTTGTCTCAACTTGCTACATTTTTGTGTCCTTTTAACCAATGGAAAGTTGAGTTTTGAAAAGTGAAGTGATGAGTGGTTAAAGGTTAATTTGGGGAAGAGTGCATCTTCCCGTAGGGGATGACAGGCAAGTATAGAGGATTCCATAAATAAAATTATTTTTTTTACTGAATCGTAAAGTAAAAAAGTGCAATAAAAATAAGCTATTATTTAACTAGAAATAGCTTTTATGAATAAAAACTTAAATCTTCTAAACTTCTGTATTAATTTGTAGTGGCCAAGTGATAATGTTATTAAAAAGAAGACTGTACTATTTACTAATGATAAATGAAAAAATTCATTACAATTCAATGATCATACCTCTTACTATTTTAAAAAGAATTTTGAATTCTTCTGTGCGTATATAAACAAGAAAAAAAAAGTTTATTTTTTTTTATTATTATTTCTGAATATGGGCGTCCATACATCAGAAAATCTATGCTAAATTTTTCCACAAGAAGCGTCTTCGTGAGGCTATAATAAAAATGTCAAAGAAATTCCTAAAATTCATTAAAAAATATTAAATAAAATGCTTAAAATATTTTTTTAAATTTCAGATTACAGTGTAATCTGAAATTTTTAAAATATTTTAACTGCCCTGTGTAATGATTTTTACACAAGGCAGGTAAAAAAGAAAAAAAAAAAAATCATGCTCTATTCATTGTAATTTTTCTATTGCTCTACTTTGTTAAATTTCCCCAGCATCAGGCTGTCAATAAATCATTCAACACATCAACAAAAAACATCCACTCCGTCTTAGAAATAAACCTTTTTTCATTTCTGCAATAAAAAACTATTATTAAAAAAAAAAAAAATCAGTTAGATAAAAAATTCGGTTTGAAGTACAAAGTATTTTTTTTGCTTATTGTCGATAGCTCCAAAAAACGGTAGTTTTCATCATAATTTAATAATTGTTAATTCGAGTTCATGTACATTTACACGGAATTATGACAATTTGGGAACATTTTAAGAGATATTTAGCGCGGGTGAAAAAGATTTTACCTTAAAAAGTTAATCCATCGTAGAAAGAATGACTATAATCAGGGTTGCCAGTCTTTTTTTCTTTTATATTTTCTTCCCATTATTATGAAACAAAATCGCAAAAAAACAAAAACAAAAAAAAACTCATAATTAAAATAAACAAATCTGATTCCGGTTCGTCGTATTTTTTTTACATCGACCCTGATGCTGGTGAAGCAGATAAGTAAGTGTAACAAATAATAAAACGTCTAAAAGGTAATTAAAAAAGTATAATGTAAAAAAATAAACCTACAATGAGAAACAGAATAAATAGTTTAAAGATGTATAAAATCAGAAATAGAACAACAAAAAACAAAAGTATTTTAAAAACGATGTTGAATGGAAATTACATCGCAGTTGAACTTCTGCTTAGTTTTTGCGATCGAGTGTTTACGTTTTTTTTTTTTTTACATTTGCTTGAGAAATCTGACTTGGTTTCAATATTCTTTGGCTTTAAATAAAATAAGAAAAAAATAGACGAACAATTCTTACCGTGTAAAAACAACAAACTCAGACTAATTACTGCTCACTCCTCAATTTCAAGAATGTGGTTGAAATTTCCACGTGATTATTATTTTATTTTTAAAACAATTGACACCGACGAGGGGGCGGCGGTGTCGAAGGTAAATTTGAATCGATTGTTGAAACAATTCCCTCATAGATTTTCATTTTAGTTACGGTTGTTTTCATTATGTAATCTATCTGACAATTGAACTATGAATGTTTTTGCATGATAGTTGGTTGTTTTTTGTTTTTATTTTTAGTAGTAGCACAGCTCAGAATGCCGATCAGATCAGTTTATTATTTTTAATTTTTAAACTTTTTTTTGTTGGAACAAAGTATTATTCTGAACTGCTAAATAAACTGGAACCCATAAAAAGCAATTGTTGGATAATTTCCTCACTGATAATTTTAAAGAAGAAACTTTAAGAAGTGATAGAAATTATAGTTCGATTGTCGAATAATACTGAGACTACTAGTCACTACGCTATGGACTGGAGAGAAAGAAAAAAAAAAAAAAAAAAGCGATATAAGTACCTGAAGGAGAATGAAGAATTTTTATTTTTTCGGCTGATTTTTTTTTAATTTCCATTAAAAGTGATTTTTGAGTCGCTTACGGAAAAAAAAAAAAAAAAAAAAATATAAGGAATTTTAGTTTTGTCACCAAGTGAAATTTGTTTCGTTAATTATTAACGAAACAAATTTCACTTGGTTATTAACGGTTAATAATTATTATTATTAACCAATTTATTTTAAAATTCTTCTTTCAACAACTGAATTGAAAAACTTCAATGTAACCCAGATAAGAGAGTTGTCGGGACCGGAGAAGAAGTCTCTTATATCTGGGTTTCTCTTATATCCGGGTTTGGTCTATTTTATATACATTAACACAGGCTCTAATTTGGGACCAGAGAAAATGTCTCTTATATCCGGGTCACACTGTACTTGCTTCTTGATAGTCAAATGCTAATAATAATACTGAATAATTTGCAAAGCAAAGCATAATCGGCGAGGTAGCCTCGCAAGTATTGCAAAATTACTCGCACTGCCTTCGGTTTTTAACATTTTTAGCCACACAATTTCCAAACTGAGTGAGAAAGTTTGAAATATTTTTGTTTGTTGTGGCCACGAGTTCAATGAATAGTGGCAACCAGCATGTTTTTAATAAATGCAAAATAACAAACAAATAAACATTTTTTTGTTTAAAATAACAATGTATTTCCACGAGAATAATAATTTCTGGAAACATTTAAGTGCGTGCGTGTGAGTGCTTGACAGTTATGGGAACATTACTTCCATGATGGGCAGCAAATGTTCAGGGAACAGGAAAAAAAAGTGGGGAAAGATTTTTGAAAACGTGTTTCCTTTTATACACGTACCATATGAAATATATATCTGAGCAAGGTAATCCACGACCACCACATGTTCCTGTTTATTATTTTATTTTATTTTTTTTTTATTGTGGTTCTAGCTCCTGCGCATTGAAATTAGAGATTTCTTGTTTTTTGTTTGTTTTATTTTTTTTTATTACAATGACGTTCACCCTGTACATGGCTTGAGGACAACTCGTGGTAGAGCGTTACACATTAAGAGGCAGAGTTTATATGGGTACATGTGTAAGATAAAGGTTAACCTTAGCATTGAACAGGTTAAGATTGTAGTGATCAGGGAAGGATCCTCTTGGGAGTCAGTTCCACAAAGCAGCAGTTTGTGGGAAGAAGCCACTCATGCTAATGGAATACAAATGAGGGTGGTTTGCTACAATGTGCATGGCATGGTGGGTCTTAACTGTGAAGGTTAGAACTGGTGGAACTAATCAATGTAGTTTGTCTGAACACTTTCCATGGAAATAGCGATAGAGGCTTGCAACATTTTGTTTGTGAGAAAGGGGATATACGGTCCCACAAACACAGACACTTTTGTACGCTATTGAAACTGGAAGGTGAAGGTCGAGAAGCTCCTCCCTATATATGGCAGTAGTACCCCATTTTCGGCCTGATCTGGCTCTTGTAAAAATAAAGTATAGCAGGGACAATCAGGTACTTACTGGAGCGGTAGAAGGAACCAACTATTTTTCCAGCATGTATGAGTTTCACAAGATCTGGGCTGAATTTCCAAGAGGTGCTCAAGGCATGGGGCTTCCCTAAGACAACATCTGTTCATTGCAATTGGTGGAAGTTCTGCCCCTGATTGGTGATGATGGAATGTCACTAGTTTGATTTTTGAGACATTGAATGTGACCAGCAAGTTTTTCCCCCACTGAGCTGTTAGATCTAGGTCAGAGGAGAGATCAGCTGTCAAGCTCCAGTTATCTAGGGTTTTGGAAGTGCATCCATATACTGTTGTATCATCAGCAGAGATATTCACAAATGATTGGAGTATACTCTTTGGCAGATCATTTATGTAAAGTAGGAAGAGTCATCCTTTATCAATCTAGGTCAGAGGAGAGATCAGTTGTCAAGCTCTAGTCGTCTAGAGTTTTGGAGGTGCACCCATATATTGTCATATCATCAGCATAGATATTCACAAGTGATCAGTGTATACTCTTAGACAGATCATTTATGTAAAGTAGAAAGAGGATTGGACCAAGAAGTGAACCTTGGAGGATGCCTGTGTTGATTGCTTGGGCCTTAGAGGACTGGTCATTAACCTTCAGAGACCAACCTGTTAGGAAGGACATGATAATTGAGAAGACTCTTACAGTGATCCCATAGCTAGAGAGCTTGTGCAGTTACCCTTTATGCCATACCTTGTCAAAGGCCTCTGAAATATCTAATGCAATAGTCCTTGAGTTATCTAGTGCCTCATTAGTTCAACCTTTTCTCACCCCACTTCAAGTTTCAACATTCAATTTTCAACTTTTGATTGCCAATTGATTTGATTTAAAAGCAGCCTGGAACAAATGCATTAGAATATTGAATCTATGGTAAAATCCAGCAGAATAATTAATGTTACTTGAAAGTTATTTGAGTTCATAAGTAAATGCGGCAAATTATTTTGGGAGTACAAAAAGGCATGAGTGGGTAGGAATGAGAATCCATTGAGAATTGTGCAAATGGCTGTGATCTGATTGTGTAAGTTAATCAGATAAGCTGAAACCTTCTCAAGGAAATGAAATGTTAAATTCTATGATATTTTGATATTGAAATGAACCACACAATTCAGGACAAGAAATCAAATTCATAAACAAAAAAAGAAAAAACTGTTAGATGAGATATATTAGTATTCCAAAAGGCCAAAGATTAAAAGAGCCAAAAGCTGGAAAAAATATTTAGAATTGAAAATTGTGGGCTCTAAAATTGACAGTCATGCCCCTCATTACTGGAGTACTTAGAACAGCAAATAATTAAACTTGTAAAATGATTATAAGAATTAGAAATTTGAAGAAGTGTAATATGTTTCAAGTATGATTTCAGGCTCAGAATTAAGATGATAACTTTAATGTACATCATATTCTGATGGACCTGGATACATAATCAGTAATGTTTCCTGGTATAATGGAGTGTTTAATGTCTTTCAATAATCAATCACTTTCATTCAGAGAATCAAACCTCAGCTTATTCCTACATAGTTGTACCCTACTGATTGTTTTCAAATCCTTTATCTCTCGACAACCACCCTTGAAGTAATTTCTGCTGCCACAGTAGCCAACTTGGTAAATGTTTTCCTACTGACTGCTGTGATGTCAAGGATGTTGTAGGTCATTCAGAAAAACTGGCCGACAAACCCACTGCACATCCCTCATCAATGGGCTTCTTGCCTTACTCACTACCTGTATCTTTGATATTCTTGTACTTACTCAGCTTATTTTGTCTTATGACCACTTTTTGGCCTGCCCAGTGTAGACCATCCTGTCCTTAAAGAATGATCTACTTGGAAACTTCTGAGATTATCACTACATCTGGCTTTAGTGTTGCTGTGTCAATAGTTTCTGGGAACCTCAGCCTCTAATAATAATAATGAAGATGACTGAATAATAATAATAACACTATCAGAAATGATGATGACTGAATATACTTTCTATTTTTATGATGATGATCACTTAATAATAGTACTATCAGATTGATGATGATGACTGAATAATAATAACAGTATCAAAAATGTTGACTGAATATACTTTCTACTTTTATGATGATGAATAAATAATAGCACTATCAGAAATGATGATGATGATTGAATACATTTTCCACTTAACAATAGCAAAATATAAGTAATATAAATATCTAGGTCGCCTCATGAACTTTGAGAAATTTTATCATTTCTAGGGCATTTCTATATCAGTTTTGCTATCAATGTTGGATTAATTTGCAATATCAAAGTGGAAGATTTTAAATTTGGGTTTTGCACAACCAAATCTATCTTTCTTCCAATAAATATTTATGAAATGCAACACTACCTGGTACAATGTCACTGATGTTTATCTTCCAATATTTCAAATCATAATTGATCAGTTTGTTATTAATTTAATCATGTCTAGTAGTAAAATATTTGAAAATGTGATAGATATTTATGCATGCATTAAAAAATATATACATACAAAAAATGAAATGTACTTGTTTTTTGTTTTTATTTTTTTGTTTTCTACGTCTTATCAACCTTTTGTAGGTTATTTAAAGTCAGAAAATATTTTTAGATTGTAAGGTTGATTCTCAATTTTCCCCAAGGGTATTTGAGTGTAAGTGAATATAACAAACCCAGTAGGAATTAGAACTTGGTTTCTTCAAATATAATCCTGTTATTATCGAAGGCCAAGTTATAGCTGAAAAAAGAAAAAAAAAAAGTCATTAACTGTTGAAGTGTCTACAAGAATCTACAACGTAGATTCTAAGAATCTACCTACATTCTTTGAGCAAATTTTCGTTGACGCACATTTTGACAATAGTGAGAATGTTATGTGTAGAGGAAAAAATTGATGAGTGTGTGAACAGAACTAATGAAATTGGTATAATTATTTTATTGACACTAATTAATTTTTACTTTTTTATGGACACGACATGAAATAGAACGAAAAAGGAAAAGTTTGCTTTAAATGATTTCATTTGTAAGGATGATTTGATTTTATTTTTTTTTCATTTATGGTATGAATTAGTCATGTTAATTTCATTAATTGCAAAGATTTCACTCCAGCTGCCAAATTGAAATATTTTAGTATGGGCGG